CTCCTCTTTTGGCATTGCAACCAGTGTTGGCAGTAACCAGTAATACACTGTATACAGACTTGTAAGTTTGCTTGTTACGTTAGTGTTTTTGTTTTAATTTCAAATGTAATTTTTGCTATATTTGAGAAAAAGAAGATAATTCCTTCACACATTGTCCTCAAGGACAAGAGTATACTTCCTCATAGATGACAGTGTTTCTAAATGTGTTAAAAGAAGAATAAGTTTAGAATAAGGAAAATATTTAGTGTAAATAGTAATTAACTCACATTATCTTAAACAAGCATTTCTGAGTAAGGTAAAGGAAATGTGAAGTTGTATTTATGACACAAAACAGACACATACATACACATACACAAACACAATTTCCTTTTTATTTACTGGGAATACTTCCTCCCAGAATAAACAAACCATTTTGTATTTCAATTAAACAGAGATCATAGAGATCCTCTCATATGCACAATATAAAATGATTCTGCTCTCCTGCTCCTTTAAGAGCTGAGTCTCACCCTAATTTTTTGTGCTCCCTTGAACTTTATCTAGATCCCAGTTGAGGGAGCCAGTGGTTTAATTCTGTTTAGCTGTAGCACAATGCACGAGCAAATTCTGAATCGCTCCTTTTCAGAATCACAAAACCCTCAAGTCATTATCCTTCCATAATAGTATCCGGTGACCTGCACTAACACTCCTCAACAGCCCTTTTATCAAAGTGCTGGAGAGGCAGTTGCCACCTGTCCAGCAATGACTTAAAAGTTTAACCTGGTTGCTACTTACAAAGTCAGAGTGGAGACATAATATAGTTCATCTTGGACTATGAGAAAAAAGAAATCACTTATTTTAAATACTATATTGCTGTTTTGTTCCCTATCCCATCCTCCACCTTCTTGATGCTTCTGGAAGCATTAAAGGCTTACATGTGACTCATGGTCTTTCCTAAGTTATTGCGAAGTTTGAGTTTATCCTAGAAATATTGCTTGATGAGTTCAAGTTTTAAGCCAAATGATCAGCAATACCACACTTTCTACCTCCCATCCTTGCTAACAAAAACCCTAAACTCGGAATGGGTTGAGGTTCCCCAACTTGACATTATTCAATGGTGATAATAAAATGCATACATGAAGTTCTGGAAAATTTGCATAATCTATTCTTTTAAAAATGCTGACTATTTTTAACCTATGATTGTGACATGCATTCATTTTTAATAATGTCTTAGTTTTTTTTATAAGCAGATAGCCAAGGTCTTTATCATTCAAGGTACATGAAGGTTGTGTATTTAATCTTTAGCATGGTTGTAGAAGATATGATTCATAGAGTGTAGATAAAAATAAGCATGGAGCAACATGGTGCCAAATCATCAGAACTCACCATCTTATCAACAAAAGGAAGTCACTCTTCTTTATTCCTTGAGCAAAGCAGTTTCATAGAAGATAAATAGCTTTCAGCCAGGATAGCCTAACATGCAGTATGCATCTCGTTGACATGTATATTCTAATCATATTTCAGACCATACGATTGAAATAAAAAGAAATCTCAAGGTTCGGTGTTAATAAGAAATATTGGTTAAGTCTGTATTTTTCCCATTTTCAACCAGAATTTAGCTGTTTGTGTGTGTGTGTGTGTGCATCATTAGCTATTAATAAATGATCAATTTATAGTAACCTTCAATTATCACATTGTAAAATTTTATGCATGGAAATAATTTCTGGCACTCAAACCTTTTTATAGCAAGTATTGAAAATCACCTTATGCTGTGCAGATATGTTTTGTTTTTCAGAAACCAAGACATACTAGAACATTTTTAATAGATTTAAGTGATTAGATTTTCTATATTTCAATTTGAAAAAGCTATTTATTTACTTCAATTTTCCTATCTTGAAGAGTTTGGAGCAGATCTTTTAAGATTTTTTTTTATTCCTCTGAAAGAGAGAGAGGGAGAGACAGACACCAATGCACAAACACACATGCACGAACACACACACACACACACACACACACACCCACACACACCCACACACAAAAGGAGGGAGAGTTATTCCATCTGATGCCCATGCCCCAGATGGCACAGCAGCTAGAGCTGGACCAGGTTGAAGCCAGGAGCTAGGAGCTTTATCTGGATCTCCCATGTGGATTGTAGAAGTTCAGACACTTGGGACATTCTTTACCTGATTTCCCAGGTCACTAGTAAGGAGATGAATTAGGAGTGAAGCAGTTGATACAAAAACCAGTGCCCATATGAGAAGCTGCATCACAGGCTGTGGCTTTACGTGCTGCCCCATAATGCTGGCCCTTGTTAAAGTCATTTTAAATATACAATTCTTCATATTGTACAATGTAAAGATCTTATTTTCCTTGCATTAATTGTAAACAGATGAAGAGGAAGGCAGGCTGAGGACATGAAATAACACAGGACCTTGTAGCCATGTTCCCTCTGGGTTCTCAGCCGAGAACTATCTTAACCCTGATAGCACTACTTGCCAAGGCTTTGCACTTTCTTTTCACAAGTCCTATGAGAGGTGGCTAGGTAGGGTGGCCTCTCGCTTTTCAGGGAGCCCCACTGGGGCCAGGATTTTGGTCTTAGTAAAATTTTAACTTCCACACTCTGAAAAAAGAAAAACTAAAGTCATCAAGAAAACTAGTAATGGCAGAAAACTTAAGTTTTCAAACATTCATCGTTCTCATGATTTCACATGGAGGAGAAAGACCTTCGTAGCTTTATAGTCGACTTCCTTCGGTTAACATTTCACTTCAGGGGCTGTGCATTGTGGTACAGCGAGTGAAACAGCTGCCTATAACAGCAGCACACCATTAGTGCCAGTTTGAGTCTCTGGCTGCTCCACTTCAGATGCAGTTTTCAGTTAATGCACCAGGAAAGGCAGCAGAAGTCTCAGGTACTTGGGCCCCTGCCACATCAGTAGGAGACAAAATTGTACTTCCAGGATCCTGACCGTCACTTGGTCCAGCTCTGAATCTTGCAACAAATTTTTAATGAAAGATTTTCTCTCTATATATGTATTACTCTGCTTTTCAAAATAACCCCACTTCTAGTTCTTGTTTAGCTGTCCCCTCTCTTCAAAATTGATCTCTGTTCTCCCTTCCTGCACTTCGTGGTCAGATTATTTTGAAGGGCATTGGTAATGATACTGAATATTATCAACATAGAAATGCAAAGGATCTACATTTTAGCCAGACATTGTTGTGGAAGATTCATGTCTTCAAATAAGAAGTGAAAAATAACTTCACATGAAAGATATTACTATTTCAGTTTATTATAATGTTTTGTTTTGACTCATATTGCTGAGTAAACTGGCTGCTTTTAAAGTTTGGCCTTTTCCTTCCCCTCTTGCCCCATCCCTCCTTTTTTTGTTTGTTTGTTTGTTTAATTTCCTGGCCGCTATATGAAAGCATATAAAAATCTGGGCCAGTGATGCAATTATTTCTGCTGCTGTTAAATTGCTTACGTTGGTGAGTACCCATGGAGAAGGATGAATATCTGTGCAAATAGAAGATAGTGAATGACAGGAATATGGAAAGCTTTCCTAAAGGATTCATTCCTACTAGGTAAAAACCAGTGTGTAGTACATGTATGTAAGTTCCTTGGAAGACAGGAGAGTCCACAAAGGAGCAGTCTAGACGGCTGGATCCTGAGCATGTTTTCCTCCTTGCTGTTCCTTGCACTGTTGAGAAGAAGCTCATAGATTCATAAACACCATGTTGGAATTCTAATTCTGGAGTTCACTAGCATGGACTTAGATAAGACCTTAGACCAAGATTTAACTCAAAGTATCTGGCCACTTGGCAAATAAACCAGAAGACGGAAGAGCTCTCTTTCACTCACTGTCTGTGTGTATCTCTGTGTTTCAAGAAAACACATGTGGAAAAAAAAAGATTGAAAAATAAAAGAAAGAAGAAAGAAAATTTTTTTGGTCTTTATAACTAAACCATGCCACTTCTTTTACTTCATCTCACAAAATACACCTTTCAGTGTTGGTATGCCTTGAACAAAGGTTTTTGAGGCCCAACAAAATTTAGTAGGAAGGGGGTTTCAGATGGGTAATTGCAAAAATAAATGTATCTTATCTTTACATTCGGAGTTGGCACAGTTAGTATTCTACCACAGATGAATCTGCGTGTATCATTCTATCGTCAGTTTATATGTACAGAGACCATCTCCGATAATAATAGTCAGTGCTGAATATTTTTGCAAGCTATTATACCATTTTAAACGAGTACTATAAACAAGTACAAGATGTGACTATATGATAATGAAATGAATTTTGCTGTGTGGTGTGAAGGCTCATTAACTTACAGCCATGCTCCATGTTGTTCCACAGAAGCCATGTGTGACATTTCTCACTAATGATTCATGCTGTCACTAAATATTTGTCTCTAACTCCCTCAGTCTGTGGGAATGCAGGCATCTACTTGTGTGTAAATTAATAGCTTTGCAGCACTGAAATGAGATATCCAGAAAAGTTCTTCCTTTTCCTAGGAGGCCCATAAGGAAACAAAGTTCCTCCTTTTTTCCCTAGATTCATTTATTTTACTTGAAAAAGTTACAGAGATAAGAGGAGAGAGCTTCCATCCACTGATTCACTCCCCAAATGACCCCTAAGACCAGAACTGGGTTGGTCTGAAGCTGGGAGCCTTGAGCTGATCCTGCTCTCCCACTTTGGTGTAGGAGCCATCCTCTGCTACTTTCCAATGCATTAACAGACTGTGGGCTCAGAAGTGAAGCAGCAGAGATACAAACCAGTGAAGTGTCCACATGGATGCCAGCACCATATGCAGGAGATTAGAGAGCCACCCACCATCCCTCAAAACTTCTTATTCATAACTACAGGTTTAGTCAGCCTTGTTGTTTCCTAATTTGCATGAAAATTCATAGCTTTAAGGAAGAACACTTATACAGTTCTCAGCAAATACTATCACGATTTTGTTTTCAATGTTTACCTTTTGTAGGAAACAATGATAGTTAGTGAAGGAAAGGAGATGGGCACACTTACTTTCTTCCTCAAGAAGATTTTCAGCAGCTGATAAGAACCTCTTCCTGTCTTCGGAGTTTTCAATGTTCAATTCAATTAGATGACTCTCTTTGATATACTTCAAATCCTCTAGAGTCTCATAACCATTGAGCAGAAGTGTTGAACTATATTCCTGTAGGGGAGAAGAAATACGTATAATATTAGATAGAGTTTTGTATTTAGTTTAATTTTCTTTAGATTCAAAGAAAGTGCAGAAATGCACATGGAAACCAAAGGTACTAAGGTAAGTTTTTTCTGACATGTAAGTTTCCCATTTATGAACTCTAGAGTATTAACAGAGTATATTGTTTGAGCCTCATCTTCTGGAAGGTCAGATGTAAAGATGAAATAATTAGCTTAAGCAAGATCATGCTGATTCATGAGTCAATGATATAGCTGGATCACTCATCCCATATGACACTTTTCCACTTCTCAGTTAAATTGGCAGAACCAGCATATCCTTGTGTCTATCAATAAATGCATTTGACAAAATATATTAACACTTATATATCTGCATCTAACATCTTCTTGTTTGAATGAGCATTTATGAGCATTTATGTCATTAACTCCTTGAGATAGGTTTTCAAATGAATTTAAAGTAAACTATTCTATATAAAAATGAGTTAACTATTTTGGTTGAAAATCAATATATAAGTTTAAAGACTCACAGGCTTTCTCTTCAATGAAAAGCTTCTACTAAATATAAAGACACTGTAGTAGGGAAAAGATTCCTTGTCCTCAGCATTTTGATTCCTATCTATCTATCTGTCTATCTACCTACCTGTCTATATTCTTACCTACCTACCTATCATCATAAGTAATTTTAAAGCATGTAGACTTCTGATTTCAGATTGTTACTCATTTATCCTCTGTTTTAACTGAATGAAAATGCATGGTGAAGTAGAATGCTTTTTTAACTTCCTCAAAATTCCTCCCATTTTACATGATCATAATTTCAGTGTCTTTATTTTAGTACTCAGTTTGAATAAGAGGAAGTCCAAAATTTTTAAGTAATTAGGAAAAATGTATCACTAGGCTGTTTTTAAACAAAAAAAAAGGAAGAAATGAAAAGCAGTAACAATTTTTGTAAAAAAATATTGCATCCTGAGCTGTTGGGAGGGTGGGTGCAGCTCTCCCCTAACTTCCCCTTTATTTGACCCTTCCCCCAGATACAGGAGGAAGATAGGGAAAGTTTGGAAACAGTGGTCTCCCTCACACTTCCCTAGTCCTCGACCCTTCCCACCCTGGTCAACCATGTAAACAACATCAAAAATAAAAACCAAAATAAAAAAATTGTGCAACCTAGAAAAACATTGAATTAGGACAGAGGACATGAAAATTCCCATTCTGACATAATGTTCTGTGAGTTCTCCTCTAAGTCAATTAACTCCCTTAGTCTTGCTTTTCTACAAGTCACAGAACAAGTAACATCAGAGGATTTAAGGAAGATCTGTGGAGATAGTTTCTTCACTGACTATCTCATTTGGGTTATACCAACACTAGTATGAAGGCACTTCAAAATGTTTGTATCACCTAGGAGTGCATATTTGGCCTGGGTTTTAAGCTGCCAGTTGGGACGTTTGTATTCCACACAGGAGCACCTAAGTTCAAGCTCTAACTTGATTCCAGCTTTCTTTGGTATGTGCCCCGGGAGACAGCAGATGATGGCTCAAGTAGCTGGACATAGGTGCCCCTCTGAGAGACCTGGATGGATTTCCTGGCTTCTAATTTCAGACTGACCCAGTCCTGCTGTTGTAGCAGTCGGGGAGTGAACCAGCACATGGGATGCTTGATTTTATGTCTCTCTCTTTCATGAAAAATATGTTAAAATAGTATCTATGAGAATGAAATTTAAACATAAGTTTATTTTTGTGCAAAGAAATTTTGAAATTTATGCATGTCATAAATACATTTTTACAATCCACATTTTCCATGAACTATTTGATCATTCTTTATACCAAAAGGCTTAGATATCATCTTCACAAATAGGAGCATAAATATATAAGTCAGAGAACACAATTAAAGGAAGTTTAATTGGCTATTGCTTTGATGCATTTTGAAAACTACCAGAGTACTGCTTAGTTAATTTAAGAAATGGATTGTAAAGCCATAAATTGACGAAGAGTAAGTGTATTTTACATACACAGCATTTAACAGAGGAGATATTTCATAAAAATTTGCTAATGCACAGGAAAATAATTAGATTGTAAGTATAGACAATAGTATTTGAAGCACAATCAGTGTGGCTTAATGATTGCTATTTTCTAATAAATTGCTTTTTAAATGTTTATAGTTGTATCCTTTCAACTTGATTTTTGATCTCTGCTCTACAGAAAATACTTTCCTCTTCATTTTCCTTTCACTTCTCTGGACTTTTATTTGGTTCTTCATACTTTGTTTATCACTCTCATTTAGATATTTTCTCTGGGCATTTTATTCTGCTAGGTATTTTTCCATTCTTGCTGCACTTTCTCAACATTAATCCGTCACTGCTAAGTACTATTAGGTTTTAGTCCAAGGGATGTTATATCAAGACCTGTCCTTGCATAATAAAAGCAATAAAAGGAGAAATAAGATCTGTTCTAGGAAAACAGATTTTCCTTTGCTGCAATTCTTTTTTATTGTTTATTTTAGAGTTAGAAAAAGGAGGAAGAGAGAGAGAATCCATCTGATGATTTATTCTCTAAATTTCTGCAACATCCAGGGAGGGGACGTCAAGAGCTGAGAATTCGATCAGGGTCTCCTATGTTGATATCCAGGATACAACTATTGAAGCTATATTCTTCTATCTCCCAGGGTGTTCCCCCATAGGAGTAGTAGTGAAAGTCCCACTCAGGCACTCAGGCACTAGACTGGGCTCCCCAGAAGCATCTTCTCCACTATGCCTCCACTTCTGGAATTTCTGCACAAAAATGGTCTACTCTCTTCCATTATTCCAAGCAGTTATCAATGAAATAGGCACACATTTGCTCACCTGGAGGTGGATCCTTTCTAGGAACTCTAACAAAGTCTCCGGCTTTCCAACTTTACTCCTTCGGTGGGTCTTTATTTTCTTGGGGGCTTCCTCCTCTTCTGAGATGACATCCACGTAAATAAATTTGAAGTTTCCCACCTTGTTATTCAGCATTCCTGTCCACATCCCCATTGGCGTTTTGCAAATGATATCTATCATGTCTCCTTTCTAAAGGCAACAGAATATATGAATCCAATTTGAAAGAACTGTGTGAAATTTGGTAGAACAAATGGAATCATAGGAAACTGGGATAATACCAATATCATATTAAAGTGATTCATAGATAACAGAAATGTTATAATTAATTTCTTCTCCATTGTTTTCTTTATTTATGTCTAAGAACTCAGGCTACCAGTTACCAGTTATTACTAAGTGTAGAAAATCCCCTTACTATACATTTCCTCATAAAGAAAACTCATTTATAATGCCTACTTTTAAGAGCCATAGTTACTCCTTTGTGACATAGCCTTCTGACTCAGAGAATGTTCTAATATTTTTGCCACCATGTCCCCTCAAACAAAGTATTCATTCTGCTACCAAAAAAGTGTTTCCTGTGTTTGTGTGAATTTTTTATCTTTTCATCTGAAATACAAACTCTGTGGCAGTAGAATTCAACATGATTGACATATTTGATCTTTCTGACTTGAGATTATTTGCCTGTCAGGCCCTGTGAGCTGTTACTCTAGGCCTTTCTACATTTAATTATAGAAAATCAAACACTAGGTTAGATGGCATCAGCTAAACAGACCAGCAAATTTCCCAGAATCTCCTGAAGTCTCTGCAAGTGAGTTCTTTATTAAATCCTTGCTACTATCATTTAAACTTGTAAATATAAACTCATACCCTTAAAATTTGGAAAGCTCTGTTTTCCAGGAAAGCCCACAGGTCACTAAAACACCCATTTTCATTTTTAATAAAATTCTTAGTGGAAACAATGATAATTCAGTCATCACAGCTGCATGAGGTTCAGTGTGCTCTGTAAGAATTCCACAAGAATTACCATAGGTGCCAGTACTCTTCTGATAGTTCCCTGGACTGATATTTCAGGGTAGTTGAAAAGATGTTATGATTCAAAATGCATTACATTTGTTACCTTCCACTTCCCATTCCTGACAGTGGCTAGGGGCCACAGCCTCCTTTCCAAAAGATTTGTACTTAACATCAAAGCATCTAGAAAAGACTTAGCAGCTATCAGAGGTGAACAATGTTTTCTTCATCCTCTAGCTTATCTTACTCAGAAGTGATAGTATTGAAGAGATAAAATCAGCTGAGCCCTTTAAATGCCAAATACTTGCATCAGTATTCTATAATATAGCATAATCATTGCTTAAGTTTAGTTTTAACTGTACAGAAAAATTCCTAATCTGTGTCCTTTGTTTTATGGCATTTTGTGATTCTAAAAGGTATAACTTAATGTCTGTAAAATATTTTAACAGGAAGTCTTCTATCTGTAGTATGTGTGTTCAGTGTGAGCAGGACCACTGAAATGATGATTTTCACATTCATGACCATGACAGAAAGACTTTTGTACAGTTAATTAACGCACCAAATGAGTGGATTGAGTTCATGAAAAGGAAGATGAGCTGGATGAGACTGACTGAATCAGAAAACACACTGAAACTCCTCAGAGCTTTTCCCACTTGGCCTTGAAAGAAGAAAGCATCATGCTGTAGACTAAGGCTTTCTTGGCAGATCTGTCACTGAGAAGGCTTCTGCTGGATTTCTAGCAAGAAAGAAACTAAGGTCTGCCAGAAGCTTGGGCTGACACCTTGATTTCAGCCTTTAAGACTTCAGCTGAGTCATATCATCACTGACAGAGACTGTGAGCTATTAGCACATTCTCATTGTTTGAGGTCTTTAAGTGTCACTTAGTAATAGGAAATGAGTACAGCAAATGAGAGTAGGGAGAACAAACTCAGGCGGGAGTATCATTGGGAGAAACAGCTGTGGTTACTCATGACAACCAATACAAAAATTCCTAGAGTTATATGACCAATGCTATTTACCAAAGACTTTGGGTCTGCCCTTGCTGATATTTCTATTTTCTCTCATTCCCTTCTTTGTTTTGTTTTTTTTTTTATTTTAACATGTATTGGGGACAGCTGCATCTTTTCAGAACTTGAGAAGCTTCCCATTTTCAGAGAGAGGTAAATGATTCCTGGTCATCATCCTCTTACTCTGAACCTGTATTGTATTTGTAAGAGCAGAAATGCTAACAGCGTGGTCCTACGGGTTTCCCCTACCTCACCTTCCATGTTTTGTTCAAATTCTTCCTGCATCTTTGCTGTTCAGAATGGAATCCCCGCCCCCCGCCATTTCTCATTGTATTTCTTAAAAGGGATCATACCGTCAGCACTTGGAAAACTCATCGATGGCAGAAGCCTTGCTCACTCACCTTGATTTTGAGGGAGTCAGTGTCATAGGGGCTCGGAGTGAAGTCCGTGTGCACTCGGGCACGGCCACAGAATGGTCCTGAGTAGGGGGTGTCATCATCCAATCGGAAGCTATCACGGTTACTTGTACCATCTGAACAGGTTGTTATTCCACCTGATGGAAGTACAGGTCAGGTTAATAACAGTTTTTGTGGCAGACCGCTAACATTTGAGTCAACCACTGGATGAAACCAGACATTGACAAACCATGCTGACAGTTAGCTGGATCCCTCCTTCCACCTCCCAAGCACTCTCTGTCATTGACCTCTTTCCCTGAATCATTTCTGACACTTTCCCTACCAATGTTGACACTCTCTCTCTACTGTCTAACCTGAACACCCTTTCAATTAGTCTCTGTAATCCAATCTAGGACACAATGAAGTAAGCTTTGCATACTTGCAAAGAAGCAGAAGGTGTTTGTTTAAACCTGCATAATCAAGATAATGATTTTCATACAGGGAAATATAGAAAATGATAGCAACAGTTTCATCTCTGTGTGCTGTTGATCGAGAATGACCACGCACATGATAATACTAATTTATAAACTTATCCCTAAAAACTTCTGAAAACTGTCAATAAAATTATCATCCCCCTCATGGTGCTACTGTATACCAAAGGCCATTTGGAGCAATAACCTGATGTATTAAAGGTGCAACTTCTTTTCCCTGGGAGCTTGGGGCAAAGGTGGAGTGTATCCAAATGTATGAAGGCCTAAAGGGAAACTGCTTAAAGTAGGCTTTTAAAACTGAACCAAATCCTTGCATTGTGACCTTCTTTCTTTCTGATCTTGAAGCTCAAGGGATCAAACAACAACAACAAAGGAATTACAGTAACTGTGTAACAGAGACTGTCACATCTAGATATGTAGATACAATGCAGTATGCATTTGTACTTCCAGATCAAAGATGGACTCCCAAGAAAATTGCTAAATAAATCTTGGAAAATAGGATGCTAGAATCCCTGCCATTGTCCGTACTTGAAGTGTCAGGATACACTTAAATAGCAGAATGATGGATCTATGACTGGTTAAGAAGGACTATACTATTGTAATAATTACAGAGGAAATCATTGGGGGGTGGAATTTGGGGAGGGAGCAAAGGAAATCCCAGAACCTATGGAATTGTATCATAAAATAAAAAATTTTAAAAGGTGCAATTCTGACTTCCTAGAGTTAGCAAAGATTCTGCCCCTTGCTCAGTCATCATGTGACCCTTTCCTTCAACATGCACATGCTGTGTTCAGCTCCATGGAAGGACCACCCAGGTTTTGCTACTATACAATATGGAAATGAGGTAAATGGCCTTTGCAACATCTTATATTGTGTGTGAAATGATGGAAAGGAAAGGTGAGTTGCATGTGATTGTGAAAATTTTGTTGCTTAATGTAACAGTGAAATGGACCACAGTATCCTGCATTCCATGGCCACCCTTGACTGTGGCTTTTCATGACACATTCTAGTAGCTAAATGCTCCTTGCATTCAGCATCACAATTTAGAATCTTAAAACTTCCAGCAGAAATGAATACTAATGAAATCTGAATTTAACACACTCAAAAATACATCCTGCAAATGCTTCTGCATAAAACTTTTTTTCCAAAAAAATAATAGTCCCACAGCCAATGGAAAAATAGAAATAAAATTCAAGATATTTGAAACATCTGGTCTTAGTGATCTATCTTCAAATAAGAGCAGCAGTTGATTTCAAAGGAAATGGAAAATAAACTTGGTTTAAAAAAAAAAAACATTTAAAAGGCCTGCAAAGATTAGAGGGACATAAAATAGTTTACATAGGCTAAGGCACCCTGCAGTGTCAGTAGTTTCATCCAAATGTCGTAGTAAGAAATAGGACTAAATAGTAAATGAGGATTTCTGCTTAGAAAGATGTTAATATTTGTTAGGGAAATCTGTGTTGGTCACCGGTTAATATGAGCTGTTACTAATAGAAGAAAGTAGGTGTGAGATTCATGGTTACTCTTTCTACTTACTGATTTGCTTCTGGGACCTAATTGGTGACATTTCTACCTTTGGGTATTTATAAATATCTTCGATCTTTGCACACGAATGCTGGCTAAGACTTATAAAGTAAATGCTAGAATTGATCAAAAATGCTCTATTTTCTTCAGAGAGCTTTAAGAATAAAGTAGAGTTGATAAAGAGATAGAGTGATAGGGAGAAGAGAGAAGGGCAGAAAAAAGAGGCAGGGAGAGATTCCCAATAATACTTGTAAATATACTTTGACATCACGATACTGCACTTCATATCTTTTCCTATATTTGACATGTCATGATACGTTCATATATCAGAAAGTGAAGCTTGTAATGGTGAAATTTATAACTACTATTTTAATAACTTGGGGAAAGCAATATATGGGATTGCAGGGAGGGTGAAAATGATGGAGGAGGAATGAACCCTTATGCTTATAAATCTGTATTGTAAAAAAAAATAAACAAAAAGAGAGAACAAGATTTCACTGAGCTGTAATTTCAAACTATTTTTACTTAATGTTAGGTCTCCTTAATGTAACATTTTTATTTTAAATGAGGAGATTTAATTACCTGTGCTTTTTTTGGGGGGGGGCGCTGATGGCAATCCCCCAAAATGCTGCTGGTTATTGGCTCAAGACTCAGAAGTTTCAAAATAATACCTAATACTGCCTGGTGTATTATGTGTCCTTGTAAACAATAACTTTGTGTAGATTCTTTCTACCGGAAATTTTCACCATTCCTTTTACCAAGTAGCTAGAACCTTAGTGCTAAGATAATTAATAATTCTTCAGTCTAACACTCTCCCAACTGAGCTATTCCGGCCACAATATAATTAATAATTCTTAATGGGCCCAGGATGTTGTTTTCCATTCTTTTAACTCAGGCATAGAAGGTCTTGCTTCTCTTACTTGATGAACTCTGCCCACTGTAGAGACTATCCAAAGAATCACTGGCTTTAAGGGAGACCTTCTCCGTGTGGGTCCCGATCATGGGGTCACTGTTCCGATAGGGAAGAGTATCATCTCCCACTTCTTCATCCTTTAGAAAAACATATCAGAGTGTAAGTGCAATGAGTGAATTTCCATGCACTGTGAGCACTGATCGAATAAGACATAGTTAGGGGAATAAAACACTTAGTAACACAACATTAGAAATGATAACAGTTATTCATCTTCAGTTCAATTTCTGTATTACACTACGACAAACTCCTTATTCAGGAAATTTCTTATTGTAGAATTCAACTGAAATTATAATGGCTCAGCTTAGAAAAATTAGGTTAAATATCATATCAAGATTATTTGATCAGAAATGTTGGATTTATTGACATCTCGTAGAGCCATAATACTTCTTCATGTTCTCCTTATCATCTATTTACCACCATTTTAATCCTTTGATATCTGACACTACAAGCTTAAACTATGCACAGTTGTTTCACATCAGTTATTTGCACCCTACTAGATCACTAGACATGAATAAAACATGCACACTTAGCAATTCAAAAGCAAAGCTTATCTAAGAAGCTTTACAAATCTCATAGCATGCTTGCACCCAGTCAAGTGAAAAGCAAATCTTGCATAAAATTAGAAAAGAGACAATTTAAAACCAAATTATATTTCCTTGAAAACATCTCAGATGTTTTCCATATTTTGATAGTTTGGACCACAACTCTGCATTTCTTAGTATCAATCAGATTGTGATCCAATATTCCTCATTTTTGAGCATTTCTAAACATTGATAAAACATCAGAATATAGATACGATATACATTTGGTTTTAGCTCTGCTTCTAGCCTCCATCTATTCATCCATTCAGTCACTCACAAGTTTATAAAAACATTTCCTAGATACCAAGGGCTACTCAAGTAACTGCAGATACATTGATCAACGAGGTAACAGTGGCCTCACACTAATGTGCTCATTCTAGTTTATAGTGTTTTGGAGGATGCTTTGTAAACAAAAAGTGCAAGAGTCCCACAATGGAAACAGACATGGGTGATGTGAGAAAAATGGTTAATAGGGTCAGGCTTATAGAAGATTGGCTAATTTCGATGAAGTAATCGCCAAGCTTTCTGCTGTAGGGTCTTTGCTGTGAATGAGTAAGCTGAACACTTTGAAAATACTACTATGGGAAGCTTTACACACAGTTGTCCAAGCAGAAGAAACAGCAAAATCAAATTAACTGAACTCAGAATTAGTTTGGATTGTTCAGGGGGACAATAACACTGATGCAGGGAAAAGAGGGTGTTAGGAACAGGTTTAGTCAAAAATGTAGATAGAGCTGCCTCACGAAGAGCTTTATTAGATCTTGTGTGGGGGGCCGTGGAATCCATACTTGGATCTTTTGCACCAGAACCTTTCTTACTACAGCACTAGGTAGTCCCTCTCTGCCTCCATCCACATGCTTTCAATGAAGCTGTGCTTTTAAAAAACGACCAAAATAATGGAGCATATCTGAATCCATTCCAGTGACCAACTTGTCTCAGCACTTCGTTGAAACTTGACATCTACCAGATCCTGCTTCTCTGTTTGCTTTTATAGATGTCAAACTTGCATTCCAGCTTGAAAAATCACACTATACATTGTCTTCTTTCTCATCCTTATCCTTAACAGAAATGTACTTCAATAAGTGTCTAGTATCTTCCTCTTTGTGAAGTGGGCTTCTCAGAGGTCTGAACACAGTATAAGTGAACTGTAAAGGTTAATTATATGTCCTTGTTTCCCTTTTTCATATTTCTTTCTAGCTTTTATGAAAAGGTGAATTTTATCAGGGAAGGGGTGGAAAAAAGCAAATGGGTAATTATTATAACAATTTAGGTAAGAGTTTGATTTCTTAGTCTAAAGAAGAAACAATTTATATGGGGAAATTACAGATATGTTTTGGAATAAAAAAGTTTATGCTGATGATTTTGTATGGAAAAAGATGAGAAGAATTTTAGAATATCCTTTCTCTTCTTACATTTATAATTATGACACTGTTATATATTATAACTTTAAATATGAGGCAGAAATTTATGTATTTGTAGTAGAGGTATAGAAAATCAATATTTCAGGTTAGATACATTAGGATTTAGGTATTTATTGGATGTGTTAGATATTTTATTAAGTAAGTATATCAGATAAATGAATACATCATAGAGGTATAATTGTGAAACTAAAATCGTGAAATTAGATGATGTCACTTAAGAGGAGAGGGTACATTGAGTAGTATGTCTAGAACCAAGCATTAAGTAGATATGCTTTCCAATGACATTGTAAGGAAAGTGAAGTTATGAAAGGAAACTTTCAGGAAGAAGAAAAGATGAAAGAAATCCCAGTCAGGGAAACTAAGAAATGTTTTACATGTGAGGATATCATCTGTGTTAAAACCACAGATTTCACAACTGAAAGTAATACTACTTTTGTGGTGTGCTAAGAATAGAAGCACTGTAGAAATGGGATTAAAAGAAAGGTGGGCATAAGTCAGTGGAATAGTTATGGGACCCATAAATAAATCCAGATATTAGGATCCATACGTTTATGATCCTAGAGTTCTGGTCCATTGATTCTCAACAAGTCATGCTGAGATAATATAGTAGTGAAGTAATAGTCTTTTCAACAAATTATGTTGGGATGACAGGATAAACTTTCAGGCCCACAATGAAGCTGGATGCTTAACACTATTTAGTAAAATTAACTCAACATAGATAATACTCCAAATTTTAAATGTTAAGGCAATAAAACTTAGAAGAATATCTTAATGCAAACCTTAATGGTTTTGGGTTAGGCAATGCTTTTTAAATATGGTAAAAGAAACACAACTAATAAAAGAAAAAATAGGCAAATTGGATTATAATAAAATTATGAGCATTGCTGCTATATATAACACTGCCAAGAACGTGAAAATGCAGTCAACTGTATGGGTAAACCAAACTATATCATGTCCTATATATCTTATTGAGGATTCTTCAGAATGGAATCTAAAAATGTTGAAAAAGAAGCAACAAAAAAATGACAAAAGAAATCAGAAAAAGGCAAAGGATCGGAATAAACATTTCTTTAAATACTTGTAAAAATGGTTGATGAGCATGTAACAATTTTTAATCTCAGTAGTCATCAGGAAAATGTATACCATAACAAAAATGAAATTCCATTTCACACCCAGTGGGATGGCTGGCACTAAAAAGGACAAAACAAGTATTGGCAAAGATGCTAAGAAATCTGAAGCCTCATTAACTGCTGGTGTTAAAGCACCAAGATGCATCCGCCTTGGAAAACCAGACGCTAAAATTATCTAGCTAAGAGAATTGTAAAAATATTTCCACACAAAAGACTTGTCAAACAAACTTCTATGTCAACATTATCCATAAAAGCCAAAAAGTAGAGTCAATTTAAGTTTACATCACTTGATGATGGGGTTAAAAATACTTTACATAAAATAGATGCTTATTTGTCAGTAGAAAGAATGAAGTGTTGATGTTACCGCACAGCTGACAGACTGTTCTAGCTGTGGGTTCATGTGCAAGTGTGTGATCATTCTGATCCTTGGTTTCTCCTACACAGAGTAATAACAACTTCTTCTATCTAACTACTGGCCATGATGACTCTGGGAGAATATAAATGTCTTGGTATTTTCTATGGTATTTGAGTACTTTTCCACAGAACAAAAATCTATTGAATATTGCAGAAAAATAGCAAAACTAATGCAAATGACAAGAATATTCTACTTACCTTTTCCTCAGAAAGAGCTTTGATGTATTTTTTACCAACTTTTTTCTTCATTGTCCATGAAATATTTCTCATTTTCTTACCCAAACCTCCTCCATTAGTTGAAGCTTTATTTTGTTCTCCACTTTCATTAATGGGTTCTCCTTCATGTTTCTGGTGTAGGATTATTTACAAAAGCAAAACAAAGAAATAAGAAGAACCAATGATGTAAAAGTATTGTTAGCAAGCAGATTCCAAGTTTAGGGACTTCCAATACTTTTAAGAAATCTTCAACATTTCAATCACATAATATATATAACACGAATCTTTGAAGTTACGTGTGATACAAACTCAGAAAATTAAGGTTTGGGCACTAAACCATCTGAGTTCTACGTCAGAAATTCTTCTAGAAAATATGGGTTATTTTTTTAACAGTTACATTGAAGAATTGCTGTTTTCCATATTGTTTTAAACATGCACAAAATTGAAGTAAAACTTATGATAAATAAGTGATTGTGTACATAATTGGGAGATATATTTTTCAGAGAAAGGTGATTTTTAGTACTAAAAAAGCACCAAAATATCCTCTTGCTTCAAATAAGATTTTAAATGTTAACTTTCAGAAGTTTCAGTATTAATTAAATCAATTGAGAAATTGCAATTTTAGTAATGGATGATGAAATTGTGCATATTGTTAAGCAACAGTAAATATGAACTAATTCTATTACTGAGTAAAGAACCCTTAATGTAAGTCATGTGTTGTAACTACTAACAATTTCTTATTTGGGGTTTTGTTAAACCAGTAACTCCCCATATAAATCAAAATAAAACATAGCATTCATAGCCCAGAAGGATATAATTTAATTTTTAAAATCAAATGATTTAATTAATAGCTGTGATTGATATTGGATATTAAATAGAATATAAACTAAGCAAAAGCTATCTCCACTACTTCATCCTTTAGTTACATCTAAGATTTCCCTCTGTTTCTCTAGAAGTGGTCCCCAGTTGTGGGTCCCCAAACCAAATAACAGCACACCACTTGAGTACAATTTGTATCTTGTGTCAGGTGACTCTTAGATTCCCTTCAGCTTGCAAATTTAATTACACTGTGAATTTCCCATCAGAATACATTATCCAAGAGATTAGAGACTCTCTCTCTCTCTTTCTTTTTCTGTTCTGATTGTCTAAAATAGGGCCAGTCACATAACTAAAAGTATCTTTTTTAAGTAAATGAAGCTTTTTCTACAGACCTTTGCAGTGGAGTTTTTTCTTTAGAAGACATAATTGAATTACACATCCTTAGTACTTTAGATGTACAAGAAGGGACCCTGCAGAGTTCCACGGTTTAGTGCTGCTCACCATTCCTGTTAGGAAGCAGCTAAGATTTCTCTGAACATAAAAAATGATGGGAAACTTCTCCTTTGTGAACTTGCATATTTTAATATGGAAGTTTGACCACATAGTTAATATCATTATTAATCAATATTATGTTTTGCCTCATATCTTACCCCAAATTGCCTATGACAAATATGAGTGGACAGCCAATTTAAGCCCTCATTGCACTTTATTAATTTCTGCATTCAAGGTTATAAAGGCAAAGACTCTTTGCTTAATTCAAAAGCCCTGCATAAAATACAATTTGGAAGCACATTAAAATTTTAGAGTGAGCCTTTATCCTTTTTCCCTTCTCTCTAGTTAAACTTTGCTTGTCCTTATTGTAATTACAATACTAAGTAGGAAAAATAAAGTCTCTTGTTATATTCTGTCTAATATTGCCTAAATTTTAAATTAAGTATCACAAATATTTTGCATTGTTTTCTATCATTATTAACAGAGGAATCAAAGAAACTGTGCCTATGGATTTTGGAGTTTGACATTTTACTATGCTGCCTTATAAAGCTTATGGCACATTTTAAATGAGATAATTATTAGTCATGGTGTTATCTAAGAACTGTCTACCCTTCTATTCTGGCTTTGAAAGAATTGTCACCTGTTATTACAACAAATGTTCCTGAGTGCCCATTGGAAATCCTAGCCTGCAATGGAAGTGTGTTAAATGACAAATGATTGCTACATTTTTAGTAAAATGTGAAAACTAATTTATTAGGTTCCTTAAAATTTCACAAATTGCTAAGTCATCATGTAATGAACCTGATTGATCCTGATACGCTTTTATAGGTTAACTCTAAAATTACGAACTAAACATCAGTAGAATGTAGTTGTGTGTGATTGGACAGAGTTATACATTTATATAAAATCTCTCTCTCCTTCTTCCCCTCCCTCCCTCATTCCCTCTGAGACTGTGTATAAAACATGGTATTCCTTACAATTAGCTAGATGTTGATAGATCATGTGGTTATAATAAACTCATTAAGAAGCATATATGGATTGGTAAAAGAAATAAATATTACATATAAGTGTGCAGAGTGAATATATACATAAACATGTACTATAGGAAATACTTATTAAATATTAATAAATGTCATCTTGTTGGCATTGTTTTTACCCAGAATATTTGTTATTGAAGTCAAAATATTTTTAAATTATGTAGGTAAATACAGCTGAAGACAAGCATAAGATTAAAACACACCAAACTAAAAAGAAGTCTTTATCAGCTGACTCAGGTGCGGAGATAAACGAGTACAGCATTACTAGTTTTTGCAGTATGTATCTATTACTAACTGCTGAACATGAGTGACTCCTGCATAGTGAGACAGAATAATACTGGGAGTAAGAGACCAGGTTAAATTCTAACTTTGGCATTTATTAATGCTGTGATTTAATTTTACTCAATGAAACAACCACATTTATTCAATATAGAAATGGAAATTGATTCCTTGGCACAGGTAGGCAAAATGCTTAAAACCGTGTTGCTTCATGGTAAATGATCAATTAAATCCTGATATTATTGTTAGTATTTCTGTTGTTATTATGCAAACTCAATTATACAGGAAGCTGTTCTTGAGCTACTTTTAAACTGTGATTTACAGACATATGTAGAAATGATTACTAATGAGACATTTCAATGTACACAGTTGAAGTGTAGGAACATTCAGCTGTCCTACTCTAACACATTTAAAATTAAGTCATCCCAGCATTTCTTAATTTTTAGAAATTGCAAATGATGTGAAATTATATATTGTATTTATACATGAAATGTTACAGGAATGAATACTAAAGGAACTTGGAATTGTCCTTCATTTGGACTGTAATTTTGTTTTAAAGTTCATATTCTATCTTTCTGAACAAATGTCTTGTTCAACTCCTTAGATTTGTATTCATAACACCATGCATGATACAGATTATAAGTATCATTTATCATCAGAATACACGCAAGGCTATGATTTGAAAATGTATTGACCTTCCTTACTCTTCTTTTAACACAGATATTGCATTCATGAGTTTGCAAAACTCATAAAAGTGGGATAGAATACTAACCTCGGTAGAATCAATTGGCTTTGATACAGAAATATTCCGGAAACGATCAAAATTACCAAAACTGCTGCTGCGCTGTAACATAGGAAAAGAAAAAAGAAAGAAAACTTATACTTTGTAACTTTAATTGCTGAAACTAATAAGTTTATTAGATTTTAGCCTAATAACTAGCATCTCTTGCAAATACAGTTTTTGAAACTCTTGCAACTGAAAATGCAAAGATAATGATGATACAAAATTTTTAAGGCTTTCATAACACAGTTGATAAAATATCTTTTACAAGGTTAAGCACCTTGAAAAAAAACTTGGTTAAAAAATTTTTAATTTGTAGTATTCCTGATTCTCTTGGAAATGACAATTGAATAGTCATCATTAGTGCTCAAATTAATGTAAATAATATTTTATTACTTTGCAAGATTAATTTTACATGAATTTTCTCTTAAGCTGAATTTAAGAGATAGTGGTTTGTAAATTTATATGGCATAGCTCCCAGTGAAACATTTCAGAGATATTATTGTTATTTTTTTTAAACCATGATGCTTCAGTGAGGAACTAAAGGAAACATATACACAAAATGGATTTCAACAAATATGTTGCTTAGTGTCCAACATCAATAAAATGTCAATAAGATAAAAATTGAATAAAAACCAGTATCAGTAAAATAAAAAATCAAAACAAGATAAAACAGCTTAATTCTGGCTGTAACATTCTATGAACGTTATATAAAGGAGGTAACTTTTAAATCCAAGTCTTTTTTTAAGATTTATTGTTTGGGCCCGGTGCGATGGCGCAGTGGTTAAGATCCTCACCTTACTCGCCCGGGGTCCCATATGGGCGCCGGTTCTAATCCCGGCAGCCCCACCTCCCATCCAGCTCCTGGGGAGTGAATCATCGGACGGAAGATCTTCCTCTCTGTCTCTCCTCTCTGTATATCCGCCTTTTCAATAAAAATAAATCTTAACAAAAAGAATAAAGCTGTTCTATTTAAAAAAAAAAAAAAGATTTATTTTTTCTGACAGAGTTACACAGAGAGGGAGAGACAGCCAAACAGAAATCCTCCTTCCACTAACATTCCCCAAATTGCCGCAACAGCCTATGCTGCTCCAGATCTAAGCCAGGAACTAGAGGTCTAATCCTGGTCTTTTAGTTTGTTTATAGAGGCAAAGCTGTTGTGCTATCCTGTACTGCTACTTCACAAACCACCAACAGGCAGCTGGATCTGAAGATGAGTACCTAAAAGAGACACACGAGAACCCACATGTGAGGCATCCCATATGGACACTGGTTCATGTCTCAGCAGCTCCAGTTGAGATTCAGCTTGTTCCTTATGGCCTGGGAAAACAGTAGAAGATGGCTCAAAGCCTTGGGACCCTGCAAGTGGGTGTGTGGGAGACCTGAAAGAAGCTCCCGGCTTCAAACTGCCCACCTGTCCATTACAGCCATTTGAGGAGTGATCCAGCAGATAGAGGATTTCCTGTCCATCGCTCCCATAATTCTGATCTACCTACTTAATAAAAAGAAATCTTAAAATAAATTAAGCTTCCTAACATAAAGCTCATATTCAATGAAATATGCAATAATTAGAATTTAAAGTAAGTGATAAATGGAAAATTATTATTTGTAAAATTTTAAAAACCAAACATAAGGATTTGCATTGTGTTGTAGTAAGCAAAGCTATCACCAACACTGGCATTTCATAAGGGTAGAGTTGTGTCCCAGCTAGTCCACTTCTCATTCAACCCCTTGATAATGGCCTCGCAACAGCAATCAAAGAAACACAAGTGTTTGGGTCCCTGCCACTAATATGACAGAACCAAGTGAAGCTCCTGGTTTCTGGCTTAGACCTGACCCGGGCCTGGCCATTGTGGCAATCTGGGGAGAGGATCAAATAGTGGAGTGTCTCTCTCTCTCTTTCTTTGTGTATGTGTGTGTGTGTAACCCCCGTATTCGCAACTTTTTAAAAAATAATTTCTCTTAAAAATTTATTGTATGTGATAATACAGTTCAATAAGCTCTGGCATTTCCCTTTCTCCCTATCCAAAACCCCTCTCCCTCAACTGATTTCTACCTATCTTATTATAACAGTATAATCCTTTTGTCAAGATATTTCCAACAGTTACATTGGAGTCCATCTTTGATCTGGAAGTACAAATGCATACTGCATTGTATCTTCACATCTGGATATGATAGTCTTTATTACACAGTTACTTTACATCCCCTTAAATGAAAAGACATAAAAATTCAACAGCAGGAATACAGAAAATAGTACTGGGCAGTGTTCCTTAAGACAGTTTGGTATTGGTTCAGAAACAGAGAAAAGAAGAGATTAATGGTTTGAACAGAATAGAAACTCCAGAAGCGAAAAAGTGAGGAAGCAACCAACAGAATGGGAGAAAATCTTTACACATTATAAAATCAATAGGGAACTAGCATATACAATTTCCATTTTCTATTTTTCCAAAGACAATTCTACCTTCAGAATTCTTGAAATGAGCTAATTACCATTTCAATTACTGAATGTAATGCAGACAGTGCTAACCCACCACCCCAAACACAAAGAACAACAGTAAAACAAAAAGCAGGCATCTGAGTAGACTCTTCTTCATGCCTCATAGAGACACGTTTGTTACACACACACACACACAGAGTAAATCTACTGTTACTCTTGGTAATTTGAGACTCTCTGAAAATGTTAGGGAATGCACACAAGTGGGCTTATTGAAATTGAAAACAACATTTAATTGTGCAGAGTTTATGATTGTGAGTAAAACTGAGATTTTCTACACCTAAAATTGAATTACAGTGAGACTCTGATTCAGTAGTATTTGCTGATTTTGAGAAATAGCTCAATTTGTTAGTAGAAGATGATTTGTTTTCCTGGATTCCTTTTGCTTATAAAGCTAAATTATTATTCTAACACAACTCATTCTAAGCACATAATTACAAGTAATTCTTGATATGCTACAAAGCGAAAAATGTGCTTAAATAATTTTTTTCCAAATTCATTAGCAATTGAGTTGAAACAAAGCTCTTTCCGCATTTTATTTAATTGTACACACTATTGGGAAGATGAAAGCCTAAAATGTTCTTTGTGTATTCACAAATCTCAGGAAGATGTCTTCATATGCTTCAAACTTTGTGTTTCATATACCAAGTTAATGATGTTTTTCAAACTAGCTTGTGGTACTAAAGCTAACCAAGTAATTTTAAAAATGTAGACCAGGATTTTGTAATCTGTAAAACATTATTTTATACTTTCAGAAATCAAAGCACATTTCAGTTGAAGTCAGTTTCAAAAAACCCTAGGTTATAAAAGCATTCCTGTACTCATGTCTTCCCACAAACTATCTTTAAATTCCCTGGTTTCCCTTTAAAAGAAGCTGAAATAAAAAGATTCTGACATGTGACAAGGAGTTAGTCTGATAGATGAGTGACATGGGGTATTGCCTCAAGGACTGTGGCTGTGTTAGACCAAATTAATGCCTTTTGCTGACTTGCCACCTCCACTGAACAAACCCTTCAGCTTGTGGAAGATGAGGAAGAGGAGGGCTGAAATGGAGAACCATGCTGGAAAACACCAAATCTTTTCTCTTAGTGCTTCCTAACCCTGGTGACCTCCCAGAGTATTAGTCACCACAACTTACTTAGTAAACATTTCCTTGAGGCCAACATCACTCAAGAGATGACAGAGTTGAATTTGGCTGATTGACCTACAAACAATATGAATGCAGAGAAATCTGTTCCCTTTTTATATGCTTAAAATATTCTTATTAATGATTATAGACAACACCTGGGAAAATTGTATAGTCTATATCCAGCCTGCCTTCTACATATTGAATATTAATGTAGATTACAGTGTGATTTCTACTAGGGCTAATAAGAATAGATTCACTTCAGCATTTCTCTACCCTATCACCTTCCATTAAGTAATCAATAGTCACCAGCCTTTAGAATTTATTCTCCCCTAATATATCAATAAGGAAATGCAGATTTAGTAGTAGTGTGGTTGAAGAAAGATATAGGATGAGTACTTTGGATTTTGTCAGTCATCTCATTGCTAATCACTCAACTGCTCTAAGATGTAGGAATGCATCAGTCCATGCGAGACACCCTTAAGGAGCAAATCGACGTTTTTAAAAGTACAATTAAATTTTTATTATTCTTTAAAGTCCAATACTTTCTTAGATGATTTTATAGTGTATCGGTTATGGCTAGTGATGAAAAGGTACTAATATCTAGTATGAGCTATGAACAGTGAACAAATGTATGATTTCTACCCCTGTCAAGTTTTCTAATGAAAAGGTGAGTCATGTGAGAGGAAAGTCAGCTTCCAAGATTGTGATCCTTAATAAGTCAGATTATGTCTGTATATTGATGATTTTGCATTTTGTAATCCTAAAATTGTGTTCAAAAATATTGCTACTGAAGAGTTCTAAAACAGTGATAACTACGAGTGTTGCATTCCTGATGCTCTTCCTAGATCCTAAACACATTAATATTGGAATACATCTGTTCTCCACGTAGGACTAGGAGAGGAAATATACAAAATGCTTCTAGAAATTTTGTCACATCATTAAACAACCATATTTTGAAAACAACTAAAATCATATTGATAATATTCTTACTGGGGTATATTATAGACAAAGGTTTTTATTTTATTATTAACAAGTGCAATTACTGAAATTCATTAAAAATTATATATAAATTACACAAATTTGTAAGTTCAAAATAGGTAAAATCAATGTTTACCTTAAAAATTATATGTGAAAATTCTTTAATACATTAGAAAACAAACGTTAATCTGATTTTTTAATGAGAACTAGGTATGTACTATCATGAATCAACTAAGGACAATGCAGTTATGAAATTATCATTTGGAAGCACCCAAACACGATATTGGATTCAGACAATATTCATCAATGGATGCTTAAAATCACAAAAGGAATAAACAAAAACAGAATCTATGCTTTGTGATAGATGCACATCATACTTCTAATTCTTAAGGATTAAAGGAAAAAAGGAAGGGAGGAATGGGGGGAGGATTAGAGGAAAGAAAGAATGAGATGGGAGATGAG